GTTAGTTAGTTAGTTAGTTAGTTAGTTAGTTAGTTAGTTAGTTAGTTAGTTAGTTAGTTAGTTAGTTAGTTAGTTAGTTAGTTAGTTAGTTCACACAATGATCAAACAGCACAAGGCAAAAGTACTATAACATATGTATATATTATAGTACTGCCTTTTATAGTATTGTCATAGTTCAGCTGGCTGGCCTCCCTCTCACTCTCATCAATTTTTTTATCAGCTTTGTCTGCAAGCTTTTGTACTGCCGACTGTCTATAGTGACGTTCATCATCACTTGACATTTTATTGCTCATTTTGTAAAAGCAAAAGCAGGAATCTGACATTTTGTTCCATTCATAAAAGACCTTTAGTACATTGGTGAATACACCACTTTGCTTGACTAACAGAGGAATCCCTATGTGCTCATATAATTAAAAGACAACATGATGTTTTAATCATGTTCTGCCTGTACATACCAGAGCTGACATCCAAGTGGTTTAGTCTTTCACACAGCAGCTTCTGCTCCATGTCCCTAACGTGTCTCCTCGGGTCATTTCTATCAGACTGCATCTCTCTTATGGTCTCACACTGCAAAGCTGGAGTCAGTCATAGAAAATAAGCAAGAACCCTATTACTTCATCTTCATAGATATAAAGTGTGTGTGTGTGTGTGTGTGTGTGTATCTAAAACTGAACTTTTGTTATTATTATTACGGTTTTGGAATGTATAACCTAAATACAATACACAGTAGAAGTAGCACATGCAATTCTTTAAGGGAAAATCATGCAATCACTTCATCATCAGGTACATTTTTCAGTATCTTGTCCAGTAGCCTTTTTAGTCTCTTTCTTTGGGGCCATGTTTGCTTGCTGAGTCGTTTGTGCACTCTACATGGGCATGTGTCCGTTTCTGGGCACTGGTTGCTCAGTGAGTTGCCATGGTATCAGCTGTCTAGCTAGATTGATAGTTGATCGACTACTAACAGCCAATAAGGACATGCGTGGAAAACGACGGAGCTTTAGCCTCTCCGAGGATTTAGCTTATCCTTCTGCTGGTCAAAGAGCACTTAGTTTTCAGAGGTTACCAAAAGCCCGAAGGGGCTGCGTTCAGCACCTCTTGAGCGTTTTTATGAACGCTGTGTCGTGCGCGTACCCGAGGACAGTCATTGATCGTGAACACGCAGAAAGAAGGCGTGGCCATAAGTGGAGGAGGCGTGTGTATGTCAGTGTGTGTGCGTGAGTGTGTATGTTGGTTGGGGGGGGGGGGGCGGTGAACGGAAGGGGACGTACAGGAAAGGATAGGGCCGCACATACACGTCACAAGGGAAGCAGAAAAATATTGGGCAATGTTTAATTCCCATAATTATTTATTCACCCCTGTTCCCGTTTATGGTCGCGAGGCTTTCGCAGCCTAAGCGCTACTTCCTCTCTGAAGTTACTGGTGAAAGGTGTTTGTCGTCAGCCAGTCGGTCCCACAACTCGCTGAAAGGGGAGCTCACTCTGTCACACAGCCACCGAACTTCCCGTCAAGACGCGACACAAGCGAAAAGAGCCCGCCGCCGCCGACCCAAAAAGGGGAAACGACCGTCGGGGGTTGTCAAGAGGAAAGAACAACGCTCGAGTCCACGAAGGCGACCGGGGCTAGAGAAAGGGCGCTATTGTCCTCCGGCTGAGGGCGAGCAGGGACGGGTCTGCTTCTCTGCTAATTAGCCTGCGTTGGTCCCCTCACGCGGAGACAAGGAGCGAGGCAGCTAGCTGCAGGACGGAGCTGCTTAGGCAGGGTGCGAGCCTCCGCGGTGCTCGTTTTATCCGTGACCTGGACATTTTTCCAGTTAACTCATGGTGATTCTACTGATGGGAGCCTTTAGCGGGTAGCCCCCCCCACCCCTCTCCCTCCCTCCGTCCTCCCCCCCCATACCCCCCACCCCCATCGGACCCTGGCTCGGATTCGCCACACGGGCGCTGTCCTCGCAGGGGGGTACGGGATCACCATCGACCAGTGGAGCTAACTTCTGGTGGTGGTTCGGTCTCCCTGACCCCCTGCCCTGCCTCGCCTGTCAGCACACCCGACCCCACCGGAGCCAGAACATGGCAGGGAACCTGAAGAAAGGCGGGGGGATAATCGGAATGATGAAGGATGCCTTCCAGCCACACCATCACCACCTCCACTCCCATCACCAGCCCGGGGCCGTGGACAAAAAGACGGTGGAGAAATGCTGGAAACTGATGGACAAGGTTGGCTATCATCAACGTTAACTAACCGTTAGCCATTACTTTGGATGTCCAGGGCAAATGCTAGCTAACTAGCAGTGAGCTAGCTAATCTTCGCTTGCTGCAGGTCTGTTGCTAATGTTAGGTTAGCTGTGAGAAGACGTGGTTAGCTCACTTTAGCTAATTTTCTGCCCTAAACTGTATCGTTTTGTGAATACGTGTCAATATTTCCAAGCTAGCTGCAGTTTAAAAAAAAACGCTACATTAACTCTGGCACGTCAACTTCGACCATGTATATTTTGTTATGAAGTGTAGCCAAAACTCTCGGCTAATCATTACAGTTGTTACTCCGTCACATTGTTTTTCAACGTTTAAATACAAGTTGCACTTTAAAATCTAAACTGTATATCTTATTGGAAAACCCCAGCTTTCTTTAAGACCTGGTATAAAAGTACTGAATTTTTCAGACTGTGCCATTATTGTGATGGAATTACACCCAGCCCTGTAAAGCCTCTCCTGTTCTTAGTGACTTTAAAGCCTACAGTCAGCCGTCTGCTTTGAAAAGTGTAACAAATCATTAAGAAAAACAAATGTGTCGATGTAACTGGGTCGATTGTGCTCTTTCACGAGGAAGGCTCATTTTGCAGCTTTGCTTCTCGGAAAAAGTCAGAAACAGTTTGACCTCCAGTTTCCTGTGAGATTCAAACAGCTTTTTTGTCTGTCCTTCCTATTTGAGGCAGTCGTTTGAGCTGTGATGGTAAGAGACAATCCCCCCCCAGTAAAACCACAAAAAGAAATCGCACTTCACTTCATTTTCTCCATCGGTGAGCGGTGGGGGAACTGGTTGAAGATGTGCATCATTAGGAACAATGAAGTAACAGCACTGAAAATGAATTTTTGAAGAAATGACTGAAGCAAAGACCACACAAACAAACAAGCATAATTTGTTTAGCTTAACTTGGTTTGTGTATTTATGTTTTTAATTTTAAAAAACAAAGTACTATTTAAAATAGTCATACAACCACGTGTTGACCAACAGTTTTACAACACTTTTCTGAGAACAACCCCCTTCCAAGGAAAATCACGTTTTTGATCAGAATTGTGGACGTATTTCTTCATAGAAGAAGAATCCACATTACCTGTTCTTAAGGTGGCAATTTTAGCAATGCCCTTCTGTGAACGAACTGATGCTGAAGCCTGTTGAGTTTGAGAACTTTTTTTAATATGCTGTGCCTCTGAGCGTATGTTCATGTATCTTATCTCTTAGGAATAGTATGCTCCGAAACCCAGAGGCATTTTGTGTGTTTGGAGTGCATTAGCACCCAGAAAATCACAAAGTTATTTCGAAGTATGTGTTTGTTTCAGCCTCTACGGCCACATTCAAAATCTGCCTCAGACATATTAGATATCAATTGCTCTGTGCACTTAGACTTAAAAGATGGTTTTCTGGGAATTCAGAGCGGTATCGTTCAGGTTGTGGGGCTCAAATGAAAGTTTGGGTTTGCCCTAATATGGAGATGTATGGCTTAGTGAGTTGAACACATTTTTGCCACACAGCGGGCAATAAAATAACCAGGGGAAGCTCAGAAGTGGCCAAACATAATTCCATCAAAGCCAAATTTTCCTTAGGCTGGTGGAATTTAAACAGTGGCGTCTGTGCTGGTAGTCGAATCACTTTTGAGAGAAAAAGAGTGGCATGCCGTTGAGTTCGCAGGTAGTCGGCCTGTCATCTTAAGACATGGGTTCGGTATGAGATGAGGTCTAAGAGTTCCCAGATGTTGTGGCTCCTCATGTGGGCATGCATTAACCTGCGTTTGACTGAGTGCTCGGTACAAGCGTACGTGTGGCAGCTGCTGAAGCTGGTTGTGTAATGTTGCCTGTAGTCTTATCTTTGTATATTACTTCATCAGTTCAGCAGATTATCCAGATGATAGAGATGGTTGAAATATAAATACCATTAATTATTCCAAATACATAAACCATTCATTTTTGAGGTTCTTATCCAATTCAGTCACCACAATGGGGATATCTACACAGTGTAGTTGTCTGTATTGTCATTTGTACAATTTTTGCCTTAAACGTGATTATACTCGAAGTCAGATGCTTTTTTTTCTTCCATTCCAAAAGTCACAAGAAAGCTTCTTAAAGCTAAAGGAGTCGGGCCTTACTGGGTTATACCCCACCTTTTTTGTTCACCTTTCATAGTTCATTTGGGGGCCAGTGGCTTAAAGGTTCTCAAAAGTTTTTTTTTTTTTTTTAAACAGAAACAGGTGAAAGTAACCGCATTTATATTGAACTTTTACATTAAGCGTCCCAATAACCTGTAAAAACTGACTGAATGTGATCAAATTGTGTGTTCTCTTGTGTGTTCATCCCCTCTCCCCATACCTCGTTGCCTTGAATTTCACCACTCTGGAGTGCACCAGCAAGTTTGTGGTGAGTTGAACTCGTCACTGGTGTGATGCAAAAAGTTTCACAGCTAAGTGTGCCGACCGTCAGTCGTGGTGTTCGCACTAAAATATCTCCAAAAAGTGCTCTGTCAAACAAAAATTCTGTTGCAGATGCACCATCGTGCTTAATCCAAAAACGTCTACATGTTTGTATGACTTTTACCTGCTGTCGGAAGGAAGCTGGCCTTTCAGACTGTAACGACGGCAGCACAACCTGAAAACATTTGACCTGTTTTGAATTGATGTCTTTCGAAAATATCTGATCAGTTATGACTTCTAAATGCCTTTAATGCAGTTACAGTGAACCAGATTGTCGGAGCTCCTGGTCAAAGTATTAACCAGAAATCTGCTTTCATCTGAAATCGAAATGCGATAACAATCATAATGATTATCACTAGCCAGCTATTATGTTGCAGCTAATGATTATTTAAATGGTATGTTTTTATTTTCTCCCAGTCGGGTACTGATTGGATTTATTAATGGGATGGCTGAGATGGAGGAGTGTCTTCTACTCTTTGCTCTCTGATAGTGGTTTGTAGGGTGAAGTGCTTTAAAGTGGCTAATAAAACTGAAAAAATACACTCTGTTTTATGACTTAGATGAATGATGATTCACTGGTTTATACTGTTCATATTCATATAATTCACAAGAAAATGAATGATCAAAATAATTATTTTTTTAATCATCTTGCTGTTTATTTTTCACTGGTTTTAGACTTGTGAACAGTAAGCTCCAAAGCAGAGAAAATGTGAGCACTCGGGTTCTTAAAACCAGTTTTCTGTGGGCAGAAATGCTCAGTCTCTCTATGTGATTAGAAATCTCATTTTCCCACGATGACAAACTGCTGACTCTCATAAATAAGGAGCACGGAAATTCAGAACGACATTCTTCTTATGCTCTTCCTGCCATATTTCTTTCTTACACTCTAACTTGATTAGTAGACAATAAATTGGCCTGATCTACAAAGAATGACCCATGTCCTGTTGCTGGTGTGCAATTGTTTGGCCTCTGCTGAATGTGACAGTGGAGCTCTGTCAGAGCTGTGGTGCAAATGAGGAAGTCCCCCCAAAAATGTAATTATTAGAATTAAAAAAGAATTTAAAAAAAAAGGTAATTTGACAGAAGTTAAGCTTTGGGACTCTGCACTCACATAGATGGATTGGACACGCTGCCATGTTCGTATGGAGTGTCGTGGCCGTGTGCTTTGGCTTTTTGCCAGTTTCTTTTTAATGGTCGACGTGGTGTCACAGACAGCGCAGCCACACAGCGAGATGACTGATGGAAGGTTGAATATTACTGAAGACCAAATGCGTTGCACTCGAGCATGAAGTCGATTCCATCTGGTGTGCCCTTAAACAGCGGAGGTCCAGATTAATGATTCATAAAGCCATCTACCAGAAGACTACACGACTCTTCATCCTCTCCAGTTATTTTGTGGGGGGAAGCCTGTATTCGTGTTTGCACAAGAACAGGCCGCGCTTCAGCTGCTCAAATGTCCATGGCAATTGTGTTGAGGCGCTGAGCAAAGAGACTTGCTGTTTGTTTGTTTTTATGCAGAAGTGGTAAAGAATGTGCCGTTCACAATGGGGAAGTGTAAACACCTCAACAGCCTCTCCAAACATGAAGTGCCAAACTTTTGCAACCTTTTTGATGTCTGTCATTGCAAAGGATGCGAGCGGGTCCCCTCTGCAGGAAAACGAGCCAAACAATCTTTCTCTCCGTCTTTGTTGGCACATTTCATTCTGTCTCCTGTTTCGGCTCTCTGGAAATATTTAGCAGTAAGGATGAAATGCATCTGTGAAACCGATTTTTATTTTTTTCCCTTTTACGATACAAGTATAGAGAAGCCCCGCAGACACGCCGAATGAAAATGGCACGAGACAGTCTTTTGATCATCCCTCTCTTTTGTCTGTTCTGTTCACTGCTCATTTTCTACCTCCTCTTCTCTTTTCTCACTCGTAACCACCCCTTATCTCTCTGTCTTGCCCTCCCCCTCATATCCTCCCTTTCTGCAGGTGGTGCGGCTTTGCCAAAACCCCAAATTGGCCCTGAAGAACAGCCCCCCTTACATCCTGGACTTGCTGCCAGACACCTACCAACACCTGCGCACCATTTTGTCTCGCTACGAGGGGAAAATGGAGACTCTGGGAGACAACGAGTACTTCCGGGTCTTCATGGAAAACCTAACCAAGAAGACCAAGCAGACCATCAGCTTGTTCAAGGAGGGCAAGGAGCGCATGTATGAGGAGAATTCCCAGCCCAGGTGAGTAGATGGGACACCCTCTAAATGGACTTTGCGTTTGAGGGGAAAGTTTAAAAGAGGCTCTGTGTCACTTCTAGAAATGTCACTTCCAGGCCAATACGTTTTTTTTTGTTTTTTTTTCACCTCATCCTGAATAATTATTAGTGTGAAGGCACGCTTAACAGTGGCACCCATTCCAAGGCCCCTGGGGGTGGCTGTTGCTAAACATGTGTCAAAAGAAGAGGGAAAATGTGTTGTGGTTTGAACATGTGAGCAAATGTGGTCAGAATAGAGTTCATTCTACAGCTGCCTGTCACTTTGTTTTTGTGATTCTCTATCTTTTCCATCTTCTTAGCTGTGCTCTCTAGCCTCCACATGTGAAGCCTTTCTTGAGTTAAAGTAATCGTCCTCTGTCTGCCGGGGAACTGAAAGATAAACCTGTGTGATGAAAATTAGCTGTCATCTATTTTAAAATACTCTTTAGATGTCAAATGATGTCAATATGTGTTTTTTCAGTACAGCCATACTACAGATCATCATTGTTATTTTCTGACTTGAGCGCAACACAGAAATAAGCATGTAAAGCCATGTGCCCCAATGATGGAGCATAAAAATCCTAAAGAGTCAGCTAAAGCTTAAATAAAAGACAGGAACTCCCTGCAACAACTATATAAACAGTTCTCTAAAAAGATGACCTGAGAGTGCATCTCTGCATGAGCCAACAGGACTTCAGTTCTGAAGGTTCTGGCACTATTATTGAAATAAGGTCATGGGCAGAGTAAGTTTGCCTAAAGAGTTGCCTCCTGTGGTTTGTTGCATTCTAGAGATAGAAGTGTGTGTGCATATTTGCGAGTGTGTCTTCTTTGAAGCTAAGTCAGGCTGAGAAAGCACTCAGATGCCCTCTGACATGGAGAAAGCTTTCAGAGGTAATTAATAACAACCTAAAAACGGAGAGATGGGCGGTTGCTCTCCCTGAACTCAAATTGTGGATTACTTTACATGTGCACATGACTTGCTCACTTAAAAAAGGCGTTTTCTAATTGTCTTTACGTAGCTTTCCAGCCAATCGGCAGAGAGAAGCATCCCCGTGCTGTTACTCAGTTCCTCAGTGAGATTGTTCTTGTTGAGCTGCTATGACCACAATCTTGCAGACAGAAAAATAAAAAGGAAAAGCCACTGAGGCAACCAAAGAGAAGAGGAAGCTTTCATTTCAGCCAGCTCTTTATTTATCGTTAGCAGATTAAGTTTTTTTTTTTGTGCTGGCCGTCAGTGTGAAATTTCATTTTCATCATCACCTCTTTGCACAGAGAGGCTGCACAGTTAAGGATTCCAGCTTCATACACACACACACATGCAGAATCCAGGCGTTATGCACAAAGACGCACATTGTCTGAGCGGAGAAGGCCGTAGCTGTGACACTAACCAATGGCTATCAGTCCACTTAAGAATGCCATCGAATCAACCAGTGATGTTGAGACGCCAGAGAGACTAGGGACTGTTTAGGCTTTAGCCCAGCTTATCGCACACAGGCAAATTGAACTGCAACAATGCCATTTTTCTCGGCGGTTTTAGAATTGTATTCGGTGACTGCACCCAACACCGGTGTCCAAAATTTATTGATTTAAATGACCAAAAAATTGGCTGATCGGGGCTCACATGGTACATTCGAAGCAGAGTGAGGGATCTGTTTGTCATCAGAGCCGGGGAGCAGCGTGGGTGGACTTGCCATATTGTGATACCGTGCAAACTTCTCTGCAGTGTCTTCCCCAGAGAGTTAGATCCTCTATTTATCTAACCCCCCCCCCCCCCCCCCTCCCTTCTGAGCCACACAGAATGTTTGGCTTCAGTGATCGAGAGTTGAGGTGGTGTAGAATAAACTCGGGTTAGCTGTTTGTTGAGCAGCTCCGCTGAATTTTCTTTTGACTTTGGTGGTTAGGTTGTGTGGAATCGTGTGTATTTACAGTTTCTTTTATGCTACGAGTGGAAAGGAAAAATGAAGGTTCAGTGTTGTCTGGAGTAGTAAAAAAAAAATTCGGATAAAAGTGAGTTTGCTGTCTGCAAGATTTGATTATTAACACCATATTTGGTCAGAGTCGGCAAAACACCGTCAGCACTTCCTCCTTGTTTGCTTCATTTGACTTCCTCCTCAAACTTTACGCAGCCAAGCCCTGACATTTCTGGCCTCGAGACACGGAAGACACACACTGAGATGAGTTGGTCTTTTTGAAACTCCTACTCTGCCCAGGCGTGAAACAAGTTTTGGTTTACTGGTCTCAAGACTGAGTAGTGCGTTCTCATTTTAAAGGTGATGGCATTAGCATGAATATCAGGCAGGTCCGCGAGGCAGCTTTGTCTTCTGTGTTAACAGCCAAGTAGACAAAGTTGGCTTTTAAACCGGGGCCTGCTCATTAATCTTTGATTCGTTATCTGCTGAGCCAGCGGATTTGCAGGACGAAGTGTGTTCAGGATTACACTCTGCAGTTTCTGAGTCATACTGTAAGGCTGATCAGTGAGTCCTCAGACATCCCCCCCCTCCCCGTCCCATGGGTCAGCCCGGATACTGCTTTGACCTCTCCAGAGTCTGTTTGATCGTCCTCATGAGCCATGCTGCCATTGCATCCTGACCACTGTTGATAGGTCCAGCGGGTTACAGGAAGTGGTGAGCTTCAGGCTGCAGGATGATGCAGCTGCACAGAGGGACAGACCACACAACTGAACGTTAAGGACGTGGACAGGGTTGTTTTCTTTTTTCTCGTTTTCTTTTCGGTCGTGTTTTTAAAGCCTGTGCAGAGCAGTACCATATTGTTTTCCCCTATTCAGAATTTAGTTTTTTTTTTGTCACAAAGTTGTTTCCCCAGACCTCATGACCCCCCCGCACCCCTCCCATCTTCGCTTAACTTCACAATCTTCCTTTACAGACAGCATTTACATCAGATCTTTACACAACGGAAACATGCATTCCAGACATTCTTCTGTACTTTTCTTTGAACAATTGTTAGGGGGGAAAAAATTCCAAAAACTACTACTCATTTAACCTTCTTTGCAACCGGGCTACTGTCCAGCTGCAAACGATATGTCGGGTGTGTTTCTTTTTTGTTGTCACAGCATTCTGTAGCTGCTTCATTACGGGCGAATTCTGCTGAGATTCTTTGAAAATATTCTGGACAAATTCCTCATTCTTTTCATCTCCAGTGGATAAGATGTTGCTTTTGGTTCTTGTTTGAGAGAAAAATGGGAACAGTTTTTGCATGAAGGGCGCCGGTGGTGGCGCATGCTTGCTTTGCATGAGATCTAGCCCGTCAGTGGGTTGGAACAGGTGCTCGGCTTTTCTGCGTGAGACAGTCTGCGCCTTTTCTTTTTTCTTTTTTTTCTTTTTTTTCGGTAGGTGTTGAGATCATTCTGTTTGTAGCCCTGAAAAGATGTTATGAATACCTTCAAATCTACATGAAAGACAGCGCGGTGTGAATCCAGTGCTCATCTGTTCACAATAAAGTGATTAGTGCTTCTGCGTTGTCTGTAACGGAAAAAGAAAAGCACACCATTTTCTCATATTGAGCCACTTTGCTGAGTTTATTTTTATCCCCTCCTGTTTTAGTTTCACTAAAACCGTGTCCTAATGGGTTATTTCCGACCATGTGAAACAAAGAGAACAACTCTTGACTTTGGCTATCAGAAAACCCATCTTATCTGTAGTGATACTGTAGGAAATCTTTGTGTTTGTAGTTGATGGAGCCATTAGGAAACGCAGTCGGGCATTGCGGTGATGTCAGATCAAAGTGATTACAGGTGCAATTTTGCATGAATTTCATTCACCCCTGTCTTATCAGCAGCTGATGGAAGGAGTTTTGTTCTATAAGGTAGCTCGATGCAGACATTTTAAAAATACTATCACAGTTGGTTACAAGAGAAAAGGTTTGCTCATTGTTTCCAGGGGAACTAGTTCCTTTCTATGACTTGATGGAATATGAGTAAGAATGAAATCTATCTTTGAACTTTAACGGACTTTATAAAACAACACTACTTAGTACAGCTCCGGATGACTTAACCGGGGTTTAGCCATTACACATATGCCTGAACATACCTTTGGGCTTTCATCCTCATGGGAACTTACTTACATTTGGTCCCATATTTACCAAAGCCCTTAGCCCACACTCAGTTCTGCACCTCTGCCGTTTTCTTCAGTGTGTTTGTTTTTTTCCAAAACGAAAATGAAGTTTAAAAAAAAAACAAGAAAAAGAGGTACTCATACACACAGGCATACAAATCTAAAATAGTACAGAACCATGGTTATTTATGTCACAGCAGTTGGTGAGCAGTAGTTATTCACTATTAGATTATGGTGATTAGAATGACTCAACCGACTATCCTTCCTGGCTCGAAGGTTACAACAAGCACAATGAGATCAATGAGCTCAGATGCTGACTCTGATATAGGCGTTGACCCGTCTGAGTCCAAACTGAACAGTTTTCTTATTTCTCTTTTTATTATTGTCTGTATGTAATGAATTGCTCAGACAGAGACTATTACAGCAAAACATATCATTTTAAAAGTTCAACTTTGTTTTTATCCTGATGTGCTGTTATAAGATTTAGTCTCACATTCAGGAAGCAAATAGTATGTTGTGATCTTTAAGTGTGATGTGGTATGGGTGTGTGTTGTGCCCAGGAGTCTGTTTCCTGATAGAGATCTAGAATAAAGCCAGTTTTGGAGGGTTTGATTAGAAAAAGGTTTGCTTCAGTCAAAGTGTTGACCAAAGCAAAATGGAAACAAAGCATCTTAAACACAAAGCGATGTTTGATTATATTTGAAAAATTAATTGTCTGTGTACTAGGAAGAGGGTGCTCTCTTTTTCCCTCCCGGGATATTCATGAACGGTCCAACATGCGATTGGACAGAGGAGACAGAAAGCAGAGCATCACCAGGCTGCACCGTTAGTCTTTCCGGTAGGACTGTACATTGTTGATATTTTTAGGTTTTTGGGATTTTTCTGACTGTTCGCTAAGCTTATGCTTTGGGCCTTGTGGATTGCTTTTGCAAATAACCCTCATGTCATAAAACCATATGCCAGAATAGCCGCTTTGTTAAAGACTGACAGTAATTTTGATCTGAACTCATCAGCTTTCTTTGTAAGTTCAGTAAAACCTGCCCATGTTACTCTGAAATGTTGAAGGCACCTTGAAAGTGTTTTCACTTTACCCCAAACTAGCTAGCTTACTTTGACCTATTTGACTTTAAGATCTTCTGGTTGATATGGTAATGCTGATCCGTTTAAAAACAAAGAGATTTTGCCATAATAGTCTCAGGGCGATCGGTTTGACGTAGATGACGTATTTTGTGTAGGCGTACATGCTCCTAAAAGAGGAAGAGATGTAATGCACCTCTATCAGTGATGGCCTGAAAGTGTTTGTGTCTTGTGGATCCTGAAGCTTAATAAGCCTTCATCTATCAGGTCCTCATCTCGAGATGTTGAAAAAGAACACAAACTTGTGCTGTAACTTTGTCCGACTCCATTGTTGTTTTTCAGCCTTTTTTTTCTGTCTTGAGCAGGACAGAAAACCCAGTTGCAAGATAATGTTGCAGCTACTTTTGGCCATGCCGATCCAGACAGGCCTTCATTCTGCTAGGCTGACCCGGACTGGCTGTGCAGCGGCGTTGTAGCGCAGTGCTCTGCTGGCTGGCTAGCAGCGCAACTTTATCAGAGCCAGCAGGAAACAGGAAGGGAGCAGCCAGCTGCAAGGTCAGAGGTCACGCTATAGCATGAGTGGGAAGGAGGACAAAAAGCCAGTGTTCTGGTGAGAAGTTCGGCTATTTGCTGTGGTCCCGGTTAACAGTGGCGGTGAGGCACTCCTCAAAAGCAACGCAAATATCACGACAATCCAGGGTGGATCACAAAATTACTCGGTACGATAGCTGCCCACTCGGCATTGTCGATGTGGGCACAGCAGCCTGAATGGTAGTAACAGTGGTTGGGGTTGGCTGTTGAAGTGTTGGCCACTTCCCAGTGTACACACACAACAGAGCAGCTATTGTAGGATGGAGAAGGACAAGGACAGAGGGGGGCAGAGACGGGCTTAAACAGATATCAGCTCGCCTTGTATGAATTTGCTTTGCCGTCACAATCGGCACTAAAATTTTGGTCATTCAACGCACGAGTAATGTAATGTATTGTATTCCCGTTCTTTTTTTATGTAACTGGAAACCAAATAACTTTTTTTGGAGTGTTTGGGAAGCACCACTGTGTATGTAGTGTGTGTGTGAATAACCTTTGAACAACGAACATATGTCCATCAACATGAAGTGAGTTGAATGTGGGAAGCAAAATGCCTTAAAAATAGTCGTATTCAAAAGTTGATACAGAACGATGTCATCACACTGTCTGAGAGAGCTGAAAACTAGAATGTGGTGTTCTGACACTTTTGAAAACTAAACGATATTTACATGTACTGAATTAGCAAATGAACAGTCCCACGATTGGGGTTTTTTCTTTTCACCGAGCAGATGTACGTTTCTACTTCCTGTAAAACTTCCTGTTCTTGTGATCATCTGGCAATTTTATGGGTATCTTGAGGATGTTCAGACTTACAGCAACATATTTCTTTACATGACATGAAGAAAAAGCTTGTTTGTTTAACATTGAGTTTTTGCTCTGAAACAATTTAAAGAGGCAGTTCATGTGGGGCTTTTTTAAGTTAATTTATTCTTTTGATTTGGATAAAATTCCAATTACAAAGCCCTGTTATCATCACAGTTTTCTCTAAACTAATCATGAGGAGACATTTGGTCATCACTTACACATTACCACAGTCACATGATGTTAAATTTCTCCGTTTGAACTTTAAACTTGAAGTTCTGTTTCATTCACAGTGGAGTAATTGATGAATTCATTTTCAATAAAAAAAATGAATGAAAACTTTCCTTTACTGGCATCCGTGGTGCATTTGTAAGAAGGCCAGGTGTATAAACTCACCACTGTGAGAACTTGCAGACGTATCATCAGCTTTTATTGTGTATAAGAAATAAAAATCAAAGAGTGAGATAGGCCTTCAGTATTCTCCATGAATGTTTCAAAGCAGTTTGTGTAGATAAATATATTCATAAGATGGCAAGCTAGTCTAGATGTGGGAATGAGGGTTGTGAGTGACGGTTAGGAAAATGGTCTTCGTGGGGCTGTGCCGCAGTTGAAAGCGGAGCACGAGGCTGGTTTTTGTTACCCAGATCAAAGTACATTGTACAGAGGAGGATAAACCGATGGATGAGGCAGCAGCTTTAAGGCTCAGCAGGCCGACGTAGTCGGGAAGCGGAGGAGACGGAGGACAGCCTCCTGAGGCGGGAGCTGGCCCAAGCTTCACGTGCCACCGCAGCAAGGTGAGCACGCTGCTGGCGGACAGCTCTGTGGGTTCCTCGGGAAAAAGCTGAAGGGCCCAATTGGCCAGTCGGCATCACCGATAAGCTTCGCCCCGACTTCAGAGACGACAACTGTTGCGGCACACTGTAACACGTCGTGTTAACTGTAGATTTGCAGCACTTCAAAATAAGAGACATCCAGTTACAAAAGTGGTCGCTCTCCGAGGATCATTTACTTCTGAGAGGGTGTTGACGTGCAACACTTTGTTCCGCGGCTTTTTTTTTTTCTTTTTGCATGCCGAGGTCAATCGTCCATCTGATACGTACCGATCTATTTTTGCCTGGCATCTGCATACACTAATCTTATTCATCCGTCCCCTCACACTGTCCTCCTTCCTCATTCACTCTTTCCACTCACAGGGTGTGTGCTGTGGTGTGAGGCAGCTGCAGTGTAGCGGCGCTCTCATTGCCGGCTCTATCGTGAATGTCAACTCACACTGCCCGAGTGGCACAATCTCCCTCTGTGCTGCCTTTCTAAATCACACCCTCTCTCACACCCACCCATCTAATGCTCTCAGGAGGGGTGTAGTGACAGTATGGGGGTTGATACTCAACTCCAAGTCTTTTTTTGTTTGTTTTTAGTTTGTACACTCCCCACTCAATTGCGTCCATCTTATTTGCTCTCTTCTGCTTCCTTACCGTCTCATCTTTTTCCTCTCCCACCCAGCGCTCATTTGTACTTGTTGACCAGCCCTTTGCAAACTGAGTCAGAACTGTTCGAGCCTCTCCGCCATTGTGTGAGCTAATGTGTCCGTCTGTGAGCTCTGGCGTGTTTTCTCCCACAACCTGTGACTATGGGGGAAGCTGCTGACTGTGTGAGGGTGAAGCCGGGCATGCTCTCAGGGTTTCTTATGATGTCCCTAAACACCGTAGTAATCCTTTCACTCTCAAGCTTTCTTTTTGCTGCCCTTCATCCTCTGCATAGATCAGAGACAGCAATCTCTTCTATGAGATAATGCATCCTACTTTCAGCTCATGTTTTTCTCAAGAGGTGAGCCTAAGCTAATATTGCCTTGCCCTGGTCCGTGTGTGCTATCTAACTTGTCACTTAAACTGAAAACCGATCATATATAAACCCCTATACTAAGCATTTTCAAACTATTTTTCATGATGATGGAGGCACGTGCTGGTTGAGGGAAGTTCGGACACAACACTTTGATCCGAAGCAGCTGACTGGACATAATTTAGGCAATAAATCTCCTATACCTTTTAACTGTCATCCTCCCTGACAGTTAAATGGTTTAAGTGTTCCTTGTCTCCTCTGAAGGGAAGAGATACAGAAACCAGCTGGAAAATAAATGAGTAGGGATTAAAAGTATTTGGAAAGCATGCACAAGGACTTCATGTTAAAGCGGAGTCATCATTCCAGTTTGCTGATTTATTCCTTGTGCTCATTTAGAATTGGTACTGGGGAGAATGTGGGTGTACTCATTGGCAGATGGACCTTTTTTCTGATTTGGAAGTCAAAGGATCTCACTGTAATCACAGCTTCTTTTTTTTTTTTGTCCGGCTGTAAACATACTTCATTTTCACCTTGTTTTTGTGAGTATCTCATCCCCCAGAGAAAAGACCTGCAGTTCATTATTATAAAGTAAACCTGGAGTAAAATTTATGATGCTATTTCGACAAAGCCTTTTGCAGGGAAAAAGTGACACACACTATGATTTGTGCCATTAAAATCAGCTCCTGCAGTCTTGTTAAAATGCTGGTGACCTCATTACAACAACCCGGTGATTTAAAAATGGGTCACTTTCTTGGCTCCCACAGGCGGAATCTCACCAAGTTATCGCTGATCTTCAGTCACATGCTGGCGGAGCTGAAGGCCATCTTCCCCAGCGGTCTGTTTCAAGGTGACAACTTCCGCATCACCAAGGCAGATGCCGCCGAGTTCTGGAGGCGCGCCTTCGGGGACAAGTAAGCTCCATCATATGTGGCTTTCTATGCATTTATTATTATAGTATGGCAGCTGTTACGAATCAGCATCCCTTACAGGTTGTTCTTAGTGAAATGTCTTGTCTTAAACAGATGTTAACCCTGTAAATGAACTCATCACTGCACTCAGCAGTAGTTTGATTATATATTTTTCCTTCACAGACACTAGACTTCTCCAGTACAAATGTTACGTTTACAGTATAAAGATTTCAGACATGAGGAAAAGCTGTTCTCCCCACAATCAAACCTTTATTCAGACAGATGTAATCAACTCAATTAAACAGAATCCGGATCTCGATTTGATTGGAAAGTTATGATGCTAGTTGGAAGAAATTGAGTCTTGACCGGACTCCCTCCTGCAAAACTCATCTGTCAACAGCAATATGAGAAAGCTGTATATGAAAATAAGCCAAAGTCCCAAAAAAAGATCACAAGAGATGCAACAATTTACATATTTTCTTCTTTTGTAAAAAAAAAAAAAAAAAAAAGCACCACCACTCTTTTAAACCTTTAGTTTTTTTAAGACCTGAATATTCAGCTATTCCATTGAATAGGGAAACGATTTTCAAGTCTTATTCTGTTTTTTTGCCCCCCTAAAACGGCTAATGGTATTCTTCAAGGAATGCTTTTTCCATAATATTTGTTGGACACCGTATTTCCCTGAAATGTGTCAGTTTTTACTCCGTTCTTTTAAAAACGGCAGTTCACTTTGTATAAATGCTAATGACCTTTTAAGGGGAATTTGGGAGTGTTAAAATAGCTTGAACAAAGCAGTATTTCATCACACATGAATCTTTACAGTTTTATTTCTGGTGCTTGAATGTGGTTGATGTCTTTACGGAGAAGTCACATTTAGAGGTTGTCTGCAACTCATGTCAGTAAGTTCTAAGTAAAGCTCTTAGACGCTGCTTCTGAAATGGCAAACTATTTTTTTTCAAATACGTTAGATGTGATTATCAGAAGTGTTTCCTGTGTTTCAGAACCATTGTGCCTTGGAAAGTCTTTCGTCAATCTCTCCATGAGTTTCATCCCATCAGTTCTGGGCTGGAAGCCATGGCCCTAAAGTCCACTATAGATCTCACCTGCAACGATTACATCTCTGTCTTTGAGTTTGACATCTTCACCAGGCTCTTCCAGGTATGCAGAGCATGCATGTTCATGTGCAAGTCGATGAGATGGAATGTCAAGCAGGACGTAATGGACTAGAAAAAGTCGGCTCCATCTTTTTTTCAAGATATTTAAATCCAGCAGGATGTGTGTAGACTTGACACTAAGCACATTTATCAAACACAAGGAGTGAAAAAAGTGGTTAAACCCAAACTGTATGAACGAAAGCTTTTCAAAACCATATAAATATAAAAAAAATAATGACGTCACCTCAAATGGCCCAGGCACTCCACACCCATTCCAAAAGTCTTTCTCTTTGCATCTTTATGCAAAAATACACTGTAAGGGTGCAATAATACAGCCCAATTTTCAATATGTCTTTTGTTTTATCAGACAACTAAATCAGAATTTTTTGTCTTATTTGATCTATTATAGTGTATAAAGTTGGCCGCTTATAAATGATCATACTGAGCTAATTTTAGCAAAACATATCCGCATACCTGTTAATTGTGTGGGGTGTGTTTGTGGTAATGAAATAATTATCCCAACCCCCGTCATGCTTTTTTCCGCCTCCTTCCTTCTCTTTTGTTTTCGCATTTTGCAAAGAAAAACCTAGCAGGCACTTGCCTGTAGCCTATGGAGCTTAATCGCCAAGGTCTTATTTATAGTATCCTGTCCTATAAAGGTTTACTTTCTTACCCCCAGACAAGCAATAAATGACGAGGCTGAGTGATTTCAACCCGTGTAGTTTGGTGTTGCAGAGCGTTCCAGCTATCAGTTTATAAGTTGTTTTGCCAAAACTCTGACCAGACTTTGTAATTGATGGAGCAGAGGATGCATTTGTTGGGAGTTGGGTAAAGGTAAAGAGCTAAGTGCAGGCCAGTGTTTATATAATTTTTATCCTTCATACGCACGGCAGCAGGAAAGGCTCTTTTTTGGAGTAATTTTCAACACTATTTATGGTTTCCAGGTGCTGCACAGAATGGAATGTAGCTGCAGCAGATAGAAATGTGGATACATTTTAAGTAATGATGTGGTAACGGAACATTTTCATCCCAGAAGTAAACAGAACTTGCTATGTTTTAATTGATGTCATTGGAAACTTTTTTCATTGATTCTGATATGCGGAAACAGATGTTGTTTATTCCTTTGGTGGCATTGTCCCCTTGCTACTTGTGTGCTAGGCACTGACGGGCTTAATGAAGCCTAAATGGATTACAGATATTTCCTATGCCACTCTCCCTTGAACAAAAAAGGGCCTCCTTTAAATGTCCTCAAACTCAGAAGAGGAAGTAAGTCTGAGGCCATTTCAAGTTGTCCACACACTGTATCTGAAAATATATCCCCCCCCCCCCTTTTCGACAGCCACATGGTATAAAGTAGGAAATGTAGTTATTGGATATTAAGTTATTCATCATACAGTCACATATTAAGGCTGACCTTCTTTGAAGACATTTAAATTAAACGCATACGAGAAATAGAGGTAAAATGGAGGTAAGAGTCAAGCAGGATGAACTTGCCACTTCCTGTGCATGATTATTACAAATAACCCCCGTCTTGATTTGAACACCTTGGTTCAAGGCCAGTGAAGCTGAAAAGTTACATTTCTGCTCCTTATCACGTTTGCAGCTCAGCCTCTGTGATCTGTTAATTCTACTTCCTTTCACAGCAGTCACACTGGTGCGAGCAGTTTGCCGAACCACCTGCTCACTCCTACAGTCTACAAGTTTTTACCCATAATTCCTTTTTGGATAGGGATTAGGCTCAGTTTGCCTTTAAGGACCGGAATATGAGTATAAAGTTGACTCACTTTTTTTTTTTGTTCTTCTGAATAGCATTGAAGCATTCTGCTGCTTTCCATCTTAACTGTTCTTACTGTGTCCATTCACTCGCACATCAAATGACTCATTCTTTCTCTCGTGTGTGTGTGTGTGTGTGTGTGCGTGTGCGTTTGCGTTTGTGTTTGTGCAGCCTTGGTCATCCCTGCTGCGGAACTGGAACAGCTTGGCAGTTACTCACCCAGGGTACATGGCCTTCCTCACATATGATGAGGTCAAAGCTCGACTGCAGAAGTTCATCCACAAGCCCAGCAGGTGAGGTTTATTAATGACAGCAGAAAATATGAAGTCATCAGGTGCTTCATTTAAAAAAAGAAAAAAAAAAGAAAAGTCTGAGATTAACGATTATTGCATCCATCAGCTTCCGTTGACTTAGGTTTTGGTAGTGTCATATATACAGGTTAATATAGGTGATTTAGTTGAAGTCTTTTGATTATGGCCATTTTTTTTCTTTGTGATTTTAAGGATCAGAAGTGCAACTTCAGTGCTGAGGCCAGATTCACATCACATTTGTGCCTTAGCATGTGTGGGTGGTGTGTATCTGTTTGTGAGGGAGCTTAGTGCGAAGAGCCTAGGGCGGCTTGGCGCTGGTACCTTGTATCAATGGCCTGATTGTACACTGGGAGCTGATGTCACTTTTCATTCTTGGCCTGCGTAGGGCCACGTTGACATCCGAGCAGTTACTGGTTGATGTGAGTGCCGGATTTTGACTCTCAGAATTAGGGAAGCGTGCTGGTACTGCCAGCATTGAGACAGTCACCACATGTGCTTTATGACTCGATCTATTCGTCGACAAAGAAATCCAGGTTCATGCCATTGTTTGACTGCTCTTGAATATCCAGGTCAACCGTTGAAGGAAAGTCAGGAAAAGACTTACAGGTTGCTCTTTGCTTTGTTTTGCCAAAGCCTGGTCCTCACAATGACTGGTTAAAGGACCAGATCCTCACCTCTTAACACTCGACACCACACACAATGGTTTAAATGTTTTTTTGTCCCCAGATGCTTGATGTTATGGTGGATTCATGTTGATCAGCAGTGGAAAGTTTGGTTTTGATCCTTTTTTTGGTTGTGCATTCTGTCATTCACCAGTTACAGACAAACACGGATAGTTTTGTTCATCTGCAAAATCACATCAATAAGTCCAACCATCCAAAATGTGTGTTTGTTTGTTTTTTTGCCGTTTCTCTGCATATGTCCATTTGTGCATACTTGAAGGGATTTGTTTTGCCGGGTGTCTTCATTCTTGAATATATGCTTTTTTTCTTACACCTTCCCTGTGTTTTTTCTCATATCTCTTCAGTTATATCTTCCGTCTCAGCTGCACACGCCTGGGTCAGTGGGCTATCGGCTACGTGACCGCAGATGGAAATATTCTCCAAACCATTCCCCACAACAAGCCCCTCTTCCAGGCCCTCATAGATGGTTCTAGGGAAGGATTGTAAGAACATTTGTACTTTTGCTCATTCATAGCTGTCATTTTTTGTGGCTTATACTGTGAACCAATGTCTCTCCAAATAGCTTGTGGTCTTTACATAATGCAGTTTTTATATGTCGGGTTTCTGTCTCCTTGTCTCTCTCTTTTCTTTTTTTACTTCTTACCTCGTTCCTTCAAAGCATGCATCTCTTTGTGAACTCAGCAACCCCATGTTTCACATCCTATGACTGAATTTGCCCTTCAGCTCCGAGCCAATCCACGCATATCACCTTGCTTGTTTCCATCATCCCACTGTTATCATAACCAGAGAAGAGCTGTTGATCACTCACATGGACATCAGTCAGTGGTTTTGCTGGCTGGGACACGGCTCATCTTTCTATGCCAGCTCTGATAACTTTGTTTAATGACGGCTATGCTTGGCACCATGCTAATTCTTAAAATGGGAAAGCCTATGAAGTGCATCGCCTGTATCTACAAAACATCTGTCAGATGGCGATTACATCGTTGGACCTGTTTGTAACATAGTCAAGTTCTAAGAATGCATCAGCTTGTATCAAATGACCTGACTACACAGATGTTTACCTCAGCCTCTTAGGTCCACATGCTGATAATCATGCAATCAAGTAATATAACCATTAATAATGTTACTTTTCTTTAATCAAAGCTATTTAAGCGTGTGCTCACAGGGGCATTGTGTGAGTATGTAATTAAAAAGCCTCTCCATCCCCAGCTATTTATACCCTGATGGCCGGAGCCAAAACCCTGACCTGACAGGACTGTGCGAGCCCTCCCCTCAAGATCACATCAAAGTCACACAGGTCAGATTGGGTCTGCACATCATACTTCATATAACCGTGTATCTGTTTTTTTTATCTATATTTTTATATTTGAAGATGCACAGCTAACTGTGGTGCATGGCCTATAGAAGGTAGAATAAGTAAGAAGACAAAATTAGCTTGTGATGTTTAACATATTGTGCTTGATGGAATATAAAACCATCCTTTTTTAAAAAAAAAGGATGTTGAAACTCAGTTTATTTTTAAACACACTCTACCGGTCATTTGTTTAAAGACGTTATTTTGGGGTGTAAAACTTAACATAATATTTTTAGGGTCAAAGTAGCCCTGACACACAGCAGCGACTTTGTCTGAAAGCGCCTGTGAATTAGCACTCCACAATCATTGAACAGCAATATGAAACCCAATGGGCTCCATTCTGCCCCTCTTTTCCTCGAGCATCCACCTCTTTGGTGATTTCTAGATCTTGATAACTTTTGGAGTGTGTTATTCAGGAGACAAAACAGACACTTACAGTTCACTTTTCCACTCTTGGATTGTGCAACGGCTGGTAGGATAACAACTCCCCCCTCCCCATCAGAGACAATCACATAATGATTCACATGTTCGACTTAACTTATTTATAAGATCTGGACTGCAGTCACACTTTTTATGTTATGTTATGTTTTATATTAAGTTTTTACCTTAACATTAACATGAATAACTGATTGATATGAGCAAATATTAACTTGTCTACTTTTTTCTGGAAAAGCATTTTACCCTGATTTTACTTGCAAACAACTAAATGCTTCAGTGAGGGTCACTTTTGTTACACATTTAGAACCCAAAAATAAGTCTCAGAATTAGTTTTTTTTTTTCTGTCCTTGAGTTAGTTGGGACTTTAGACAGTCAAATTTATAGTCTCAAGCTCATCAAAAACGAGACTTTGAGTAATGTTTCATATCACGTTCCTGATTACTTTTTTGTTAGAGTGACGGTAGCGTATCACATGTAAGTTCAGGGCACCGTTACTCTGGAGGCGTGTAACTGAAATGTCGTCTCACTCAGAGTTCTATAAAGGTTATTGACAGACTCATTTTGCTTTTGCACAGGGCTGAAACTAATAATACACCCACACGTTTGAATGAAAGCTCACCATCCTTCCAGGCTCTTCTCAGAATGATTCTCAGAATGATTTCAGGTGGTGTTAAATTTTTTGCTTTCTTTCCATCTTGTCATGTTTTTTTCCCTTCAGGAGCAATATGAGCTGTACTGTGAGATGGGCTCCACTTTCCAGCTTTGTAAGATCTGTGCTGAGAATGACAAGGATGTGAAGATTGAGCCCTGTGGTCATCTCATGTGCACCTCCTGTCTCACTGCCTGGCAGGTACGAGCGTGGGTGGAAGCAAGGGGTCGGTTTGCGTCGGTTGGATGAGAGTCATAACTCATTGTTGTTGAGAGATGAACTCTTTGGAAGGGCTCTTATGTCCACCACTCTGAAATCCTTCATAATTAGTTCTATCTGTGCCTGTCCCCCGACCCACCTTTGTGCTTGTGTTGCAGGAGTCGGAAGGTCAGGGAACGGGGTGTCCCTTTTGTCGCTGTGAGATTAAAGGTACAGAGCCCATTGTCGTAGACCCTTTTGACCCCAAAGACAACAGCGGGGGCTCAGTTCGAGGCAGCCTGGGAGCTGAGGGCGCTCCCTCCCCCAGCTATGACGATGATGACGACGACAGACTTGAAGACCCTCATCTCATGATGAGCAAGCTTGCCTGCACAAAGGTGAGGTTGCAGAAGGACTCTGACTCACCTAAAACGGGCTATTTAAGCTGTGTAGCTGCTTTCGTTTAATTAAGTGTCGAGGACCATCTTCATTGGTTTAGTGGAGCTATTTTCTTTCTTTTCTGCTATTGACACCCATCTTTCTGCAGATGTATTTTTTTTCTTCTCACTATTTCTGAGCTCTGAGCTTACATCTCCTATCTAAAGTCTTTCATCTCCATCTTTCATGGTACCATGGTATTTTTTTTTGGTGTTCTTATCTCTGGGTATTTCATATGTAGAGCAAACATCTATCTTAGATCTGTTATGTGCCTCTGAGGGACTGTATGTATTATTCTGAGAATAGACGAACACCTGAGATCACACACACTTTGATGTGGTCCCTGGAACTTCTTTTACTTTGATTGCTGACGAAGCCTCTACAGCCTCTCTTTAAATGTACTCATGTGTCTAAAGTTTTTTTTGTTACTTCACGTTAGCTAGCAGAAAGTTGGATGTCAACCACATCTATACCTACTCAGATCTTGATCATGTGTTTGTGTGTGTGTGTGATCCAGGTGGAGCGCCCCCCTTCACCCATGTCCATGGCTCCTCAGTCTTCTTATCCCCCAGTGCCTCCCAGACTTGACCTTTTACCACACAGACCTCCGAACCCCCCTGGTGCCTCTAGTCCTGGAGTCACCAGTAAGGTAAGAAAAAACGTGCACTTCCACCATAGAAGTGTCTTAGTCATTCAGATATCCATTTAACATTTAATTGGACAAATGCAGTCAAAGTGGTATACAAGCACAGAAGGAGGATTTCTTTTCTGAAACCTCTCTGAGAGAGCAGACCCAAGTCAGCTTGTTCATATTTTCATATTGAGATTTTACCCATCATCTGAATAGCAGGCCATATTTTCACCTCATGACAGCAGATTCAGATTCACCTTTTTTCCACCTCTTCACTGCAAATGCACAATTTCTGTTTATCTCCAGCTCTGTGAAAATATACTTTCTCCTGTCACACATAAAATGACAGTCACCATGAAAACTCTATTTTTGATCACAGTTTTGGATGCTTCCCAGGTTTTCTGTATAAATGCAATTCGGTGTAAACGGTTGATGAAGTGACAAATGTGTCACCCTGCTATCTAAACGTTGTTCATTGTGAAGACTGCCTACACAGCGCTTCTCTTGACTGTTTCCAGCCGAAGTACACGCATTTCTTAGGTTTCCTTTCTGTAGAGCATGCCGTCTAAAAATGCTTCCCTCCTTTTCTCTTTCACCTCTTCAGGCAGCATCTCATCACAAAGACAAGCCTCTCCCCCTCCCTCCTGCTCTGCGGGACCTCCCCCCTCCGCCTCCTCCAGACAGACCCCACATAGTCGGGACAGCCCCTGATAGCCGGCTGCAGAGACGACCATTGCCCTGCACTCCAGGGGAGCCCCATCGAGATAAGCTTCCTCCCACACCCCCCACCCGCCCTATAGCTGACTGGAACCCGAGGCCTGTTCCCAAGGCACCAATCTCCTCATCCTCATCGTCATCCTCCTCATCCTCCTCATCCAACCAGGTCTCCAGTCTGGGAGGGGACATTGGTGCAGGTGTGAGGGAACTATCCAATAGACACTCCCTCCCGTTGGCACTTCCCTCTGCTCTGGACACTCGGTCAGAGTCTCCCAAGAACAACAGCACCCTCAGTCTGGACCATCAGCTGGTGAGAACCTTCCGCTGCCATGTGATCCACATGTGAGGTTACCCATAAAAAGGGCGGCCAGGGCCATTTTGGATATTGGTCTATCAGGACTTGGATTTGAAGTATTTTTCTGATTTGGCTTGTAACCCCTATATTCATAAAAATTAATTATGCATGCCTTTTTCATAGGCCCTTTACAAAAGATCATCTTGAGTTATTGGTGGTAGGATCATGGCCCAGAATTGGAAAATGTTCCGCTACTTCACCTTCATCTCTGGGGTTGATCTGGCAGAATGTTTCAGGTCATTGCTCATCAGTAATTTGAAGGGCAATCAATCAGCCGGGCTGCATTTGGCTAAACCTGAGCAGACGTCGCATAGCAGCTTATGTCAGAATTCATTAGGTTGCCTGTGGCTTTTTGTCACATGATCAATAAACACCAGTCAAGCAGGGTCATTAAAAAAGAATGAAAATCCACACCATTAAGCAGCCTTTACGTGTGCCAATAATCCTGAAGATGTCGAATGCCTTGGATCCAGAATCATTCAAACTGATCTCTTCTTCTCATTTGGATACAGATTTAATCAGGCCAAAGAGTGTTAGTCCAGGTCTTATCTGGCTTTTTGAGATGGTTGTCAGAAAAATCTAATCTGGCCTAATCTTTATCTCATTGTCTAATCAATCATTGTCAGCTTTTGGTGAACCTTCTGCATTTGTTTTCATGAAGTCTTAATTGCAGACTTGGCTAATGATGTGCCTTTATTATGGAAGGGTGAGGTGATTAAACAGTCTTGCTGTTGAATGCTAATGTTTAGGCAGCATATTCTGGAATTTACACAAGTGTCAAACAAAAGATTTATTTTGTTTTTGCAGTCTAAGAATGTTCTTTTCATTGTTCTTTCTTTGTGGATGCCTCAACATGTGACGTCAGCCTGTCTGTCTTACTTGAAGAACAGATGAAAAGGCATATTTACTCTGAGGCCGAGCACTTCTTTTGCTAAGATTTCTATATGGATGTGAAAAGATTTTTCATCATAACTTCAGTAACATGTCAGCCTCTGTTTCCTTTCCAGAGTTTTGCAGCTCTAACTTGTCAAGATTACGACAGCCCCAAAGTGAAACCGTCAGCCTCGGCTAACGCCATCTATTCGCTCGCTAACAGGTACTTTGAACCGATGGTGTAAGGATTTGCTGACATGCTGTCTGCTCACTGTGACTCACAAAGGCATTTGCAACATATTTACGCATTTATTAGACATTTTGTCCTCATAACATACGGTGTCGCCTTTTTTTTTGTTTTATTTTATTTTGTAAATCTTGGACTCTTGTTTTGCTTTCAGACCGTCTCCAGTCTTAAGATCAATGACCGGAGAAGAGGCCCGGGACAGTGAGGAGGAATCGGAGTACATGGTCCCTCCTCCTCGTCCCATTACGGTACCATCTGCACTGGAGGCCCCACCCGTCTCAAGACCCCCACAGCCTCAGCCTCCAGCAGCACTTCACGCACAGACCCAAGTGTCCACACTCAACTCGCGGTATTGAAAGCCTTTACTGATTCCACTTCCAGATGGAAAGAGACCTAATTAAAGTATTTTGTGATTGAAAGGGTTTATTTAATTATTTTCTCTCTCTCTCCATCGTGGGTGGATGTTATAGGCTAACACTGGCTGATCTGGAGGATGGACCTCAAACGTATGAAGCCATGTACAACGTCCAGGCCAGGTCTCAACAAGCCAGAGACTCGGGTACGTTCATCCACCAACTACAGGACAGGCAAACCCTTCAAAACATGCCCCTGCTGCTCCAAGTGCTGACTAACCAGAGCAAACTACTGCAAATGTTCATCCTAACTTGACTTTGACTTCACTTGACTTGTTCTGTGCTAACAATAGACTGCACTGCTGACACCTTGCTCTCCGTCCTTCCAGATTATTCAGAGTTGCCTCCTCTGACAATGACCAACGGTCCCAGAGACCACACAGCCGAGGACAGGGAGGACGAGGACAACGGCTATGACTTCCCAAAGCCCCGACTGCCGCTGCCCCCTGCACGGCGGACCATTTCAGACATAGGAGGCTCTTTGTCTTCTTCTTCCTCTTCATCCTCCTCCTCATCTAGTTCTGCCGCTGCTTTCAATCGCTTTTCTCTTGATTCAGATGCTGGAGCCGCTGGAGGTAAGTGAACTGGTACTTTTTATTTCTTTTTTCTTCAGTTGATTCATGAGCCTCTGGTTGTACGAACGTCACCATGTGATGTTCTGGGAATTTTATCAGATCAACCAAGATTATTTTAAACTTTTTTTTTTTTTAAGTAGATTTTTAGTCTAAAAAGTGAGAAGTTTTCTTGGTGGAAAAAAATTCAGTTTTATGTAAAGAAATTTGAGGGAACTGTTCTGCAATCGCTTTTTTGTTTCTTGTGGCTGATTTTCAAATTCCCGTTAGAGGAGGAGAAAACATAATCTAATTCTCTGTTTGTCATGAGGCAACAGAATCTGTTGAGTTTAATTTTTCTCACAGTGCATCGCCTGCGTATGTAAAAAAAATAAATAAAAAAGATAAAAATAAAAAACCCACGAGGATAGAACCAGGGTGCAAACAGCTCAGGTTCTGCTTCTCTATGCTTTCAGTTATCAGCAACCGTAATGCGAACAGAGCCGTGAAGTTCACTGCTGCATGTGGACAGCTGTGATGGTTATTATCATCTCAGGAAAAAAAGGAGAATTCTACCAACTCTGAGACTTTATTCAGATATGTCAGCTGTATATTTTGGTGTCCAGCTCCTTTTGTTTGTTTGTTGTTAAACATTTTAGTAAAGAGTGACAAGCTAGATAAAGGACTGATGAGATTTCCTTATTTAGGTGAAGGTTGTTTTTTAAATCTTTTTAATAAAATGTCCAAGTATGGCGTCTTCATCTCTTTTGAGAGTTGACATTTATAACGGATGATTACCATGATGGAGCACTCTGCTCAAGACCTCGATCTTTTGTCTAAGCACCAGTTAAATCATTATGCACCGAGCTGACAACCTTAGATTTTAATTGAAGATTGAGTGCTTTTGTTAAATGTCACAGTAGAAAGCTTAAAAGGTTTCACCTTTTTATTAAAACAAAAACCTGCCGCTTTTGTTCCGTGCAGTTTAAGAGGTGAACACTTTTCAGATCAAATCTGTTTTCATTTAAACAAATCCCTATTCAGGCTGACCCACAGTTGCTTCTGATTTTAATTCAAGGCGTACCTCCTGCTGTCTCCTCAGTCGTCTTAGACCACATGGACGCACCGGAGAGACCTCCGAAGCCTCTGCCCAGACGGATCAACTCTGAGCGTCGGCACAGCCCCGTCCCGCCCGTCCCCACCCCGCCCGGCTGTGGAGCAACGGGAGGTGAAGCCAACCCCCTGATCAGTAGCGAAATTGAGCACCTCATGAGTCAGGGCTACTCTTACCAGGACATCCAGAAAGCACTGATGATTGCACAGAACAATATAGAAATGGCCAAGAATATTCTGCGCGAGTTTGTCTCGGTGTCCTCCAGCGCACACGTTCTCACATAGCACACCGCTCCGCCGCAGCCCCGTGTTTGCTCTCTCTTTCTCTCTCGCCCCAGCTTGGCCCAGCCCGGTTTGGTTTAGGCTGGCACAGACCAAGCCAAAGCCTGCTGCCTGCAGCACTGCCCCAGTGCTGGCTGACCCCCCCCCCCCCCCGTGGATTTTTAACTGGCTGTTACTCCAGTGAGCTCACAGTGTCTATGGGACTCTGTGCCCTGCACTCCATGCGCTTTCAACAGTGTCTGGCCTTTGTTTTTGTTATGATTTTTCTTTTCTTTTTTTTAAACTGCTACAGTAGGCCGCTTCAGTTACAAGAGAATCTCTTTGGGACTGACTGACCGGGTTCGGAGGGGTGACTGACCACCACAATACCCAAGACTTTGGTAGGAATTCTGGGAAGACGGATTCTTATCGTTCATGTTGAAGCCTCTTGCTGGAATTGTAACCAACACCTCACAAATAAAACTAAAAGTGTATGTTTATTTGAAAATTTAATATATGAGTAAATATATATTAAATGTGTGTAATATATATACAGTACGTGCATATACAATATGTGAAAATGGTTCCAGTGATGAGGGGAATCAGAGGGGATTGAGCTCTCTGCCCCACTGAGGAGGAAGAGTTGAGGTGTCTTCCTCATCAGGACGTGTTGGTTGGCAGCAGCTTGAAAACCCATGCAGCAGAGCTTCTTTCATCATGAACTGAGTCCGACACGGCCTTTCATTAACAACTTTTCTTTGGTACTTTTCATTTCTCCCCCCCCAAAAAAAAAAGTCGCTTGTTTTGCCGTGTTGTGTTTTTTTCGACGTAGCATGACGATGGTTTCAGGTCTGGACTTGTTGCTGACCGTTCGTGTGTGTTAAGTGTATGTGAGCATGCATTGTTTGCGTGTGTGTGCGTGCGTATACCAGACTGCTTCTCATGGCCCGCTCCGAGATGAAACCCCGCTCATGTGCAACATGAATGTGGAATTACAGTGGGTGTACTGAGACTCTGTAATCATACTGCTGCTCCCAGTGACCTGGCGGGGCCCAGCCCAGCTGGAGAGCCTGGCAGTGGGACGAATGGAGGACGCGCTAATGTTGACAATCCGACACCACCAGACAGGCTAGTGTTGTGCGAAACATGGCGGCTGGAACGTTTTTTGTTCCGTCTGTCAGACTTCACTGGCTGGTCCAAGATTCTGTCTCCAGCCCAGTTCAATGTTACAAAACAAACTAAAGTCAAAAATAAGAATCCATTGATTTACTTTAGTAATATATTATTGTAATATGATCATAAATGTTATTATTAATTCAGAAGTGCTTCACTGCTGCTACTATTGTTAGTGCGAAACAATTAAGCCTTAAATGTACATTTGTGAATAATGTGTTTAACCTGTTTCTTTAAAGTGACAGTATCATTCCAGTTTTTAATGTAGCATACTTGAAATACAAGCAGCTTGCGAGCCTGCAACCTTCCGAAGCTGAACTGTTGATTCATCAGTGTTTTGGTTTTTTTCAGTACACACACACACACACACACGTGTGCATGTATATATACATATATATTTATGTATACATATGTATGTATATATATATATATATGCATATGTGTGTATCTATAATTATACTTTATTAGTAACAGTTAGTAAATAAAGAAAAATGCTTTGGGTATGAAAACTAGCCATTTTGTAACTGTAATTGAGGCTTCCCCTACATCATTTCCCTTTGGGTTTCAGCTTTTGCTGCTCTGAAAGGGAGTGACTGCAGAGGCCTTTAAAAAAAAAAAAAAAGAAAAAAAAAAAGTAGGCTCATGGGTTTGCTGGCTCCACCCCAAAGCCTACATTAAAATCAGTGTTTGGGCCAACTGTAAGAACTAACTCAGGAATCATTTTTGTCTAAACAAATGGTGTTCAACCTAACTGTCATGAAAGCAGAGGGGACTCTGTGGCCCAGACGGCAGCTGTCCTGCCAGCTGTTCAGCCATCCAGGAGACGCATAGCCAAAAGTGTCCGCCGAATGAAGTCACACAAGTAGCCTCTTATACTTTGTAATTGTCGAGATGTAACTTGCACTTTTTTTCTTTCTTTCTTTTCTTTTCATAATTTCAACTGTTGGCAGTAGTAGAAACAGCAGCTTAATTTTCAGGTACTATGAATGACAAAAAAAAAACCACAAAAAAAAGCAGCTTTTAGGTACATTAACTTGAAGCTCTCCCAGAATATGAAGATTGTTTTATTTTTTTCATTTAAATTTTTTTAATGGGCGGGTGTCCATCATGTTAATAGTTAATCAGCTCCACCTTGTTCTGGGTAATGCTGTTTGTTGACTGGAAGCCATCTGTGTGCTGTCTGGCCATCCTCTAGTGCTTTTATTTCCACTGTTCTTAGTTGCCTTGAGAAACCTCTTGAATGATGGCCGACGATAACGGGAAGGTCCACAAACCTCAATACTGTACCAATGTTTTGTTACCGTTTCAAGGACGGCTCGTTATTGTCATGTATTATTTACTTTACTATTATGTTTTGCACAGTATACCAATTTGTGCTTTGATACTGTCACTCTAAAGAAAAGCAAAGTGTAAAAAGCTGATCTGAAAAGAAAAAGTGGCTGTTTATTTCATTTTGCATTCCTGTACATGTTCTTTGTTCCAAAGGTTTTGTTTACTTATGTGGTTAATTCCATGATCTGTGCCATATGTTTAGAGATTCTCAACATGTTAAAAACAAAAAGAGAGGAAAAAAAGAGTGTTCAGGTATCATTCTGTACTTGTTGATCTCAGAAGGCTAGAATGTGCGGTAATGCTTCCATTGATTTGTGATCTGCCGCATCAGACTTCACCCGTTAGTACAAGAGCTCCTCTGTGAAAGGCCTCACCTCGCCTTTCCCAGATCTGTGCTCGGCCTCAGATGCCCTCCCAGATGTCCTGTTCAAGACTGACCGCGGTCATGTTTCAGTTTTCTGCCAGAAGAGGGAGCCGTTGTTCCACTTTGCTGCATTGCTTCTCATCTGTAAAAGGCATTCAGTAGGTTTTTTTAATGGTTTTTAAAGCTCATATCAATTTGGAAGTATGCACATTGCTGTTAATAAAATGGTAAGCAAAAGCATAGAATGTCTATTTTATTTATTTTTTTCCAACATCTGTAGCTTGTTTTTTTGCACGTCTTTATTGCAGTAAATTTAAAAAAAAAGAAACAAAGTAAGAGTAAATTTGCAACGGGTAAATGGTGTTGAATGGAAAACCGACTTTTTTCAAATATTTCGTCCGCAAACAGGAATGACCAACAAGAGCAGATGTACACTGGGTGCAAACTGGAGCAGGTAGCAGCCAGACGGGAAACGGGTGAGAATAACAGCAGAATGCATCAGATATGCTGTAAAGTGTGGGTCAAAACTGCACAAAGACCCAGTCCTCACTTGTAGTGGAAAATCATACTCCTTACTGCGGAACGCACTCTGTTACTGCATTAAAAACCAAAATGTGATTTGTCTGCCCTGCAAGTAGATCAAATAACCATCTTTAACAGTCTTAACGGAACCTAACCTGCACGGTGTTGGTATACAGGACGCCGTAGAGCAATGGCTGGATAAAAAGAAAACCGTGGTGGAGTTGTGAGTCTTCCACAGAATGATTTTTCCACAAAAATATTAATCAATTTGTCTGTAACTGTAGGGGCTACAGCTTTTCCTCCATTTAAATAATGAAGCTGCAGTCAGATTCGCTTCCTCATTTCTGATCATTTAACTTTATTTGGTATCATTTTCAAAAACTACAAACAATACATTTGTTGTTAAATTGCTTTAAATGCCATCAGTGACATTAATTACAGTATATTTTTACAACTCCAAGGCTCTTAAAGGCATTTCAAACATCCAAACCTCAGCAGTGGTAGTTGTTAAACGCAAAGTAGGAAAGTACAACAGCTTGATTGTCAAACTGATTTTGCACATGGAGTCACTTTCATCCCCCCCACCCCACACACACACTCAGTAGTTGCATAATATGGTTACCAACAGAAAAACGTTTAAATTACCGGTGGATATCAGTTTGAGGCATCAAGCTTGAGGGGGATTCTGTTTCTCCAGGGGACGGATTATTTCAAGTTTCAGTCAACATATGAAATAATTCATTCATCTAACAGAAATGTGTCTTTGCCACGTAACAATGGCAAGTTCATCCATGATTCTGTTTGAAATTTGTCCTTCCTGGATTGAAGGAGGAAAAAGGGATGAGAATAGCTGTAGAAATATAGTTCATCGACATAAAACCACATAAAAGAAAGCTGTCTCACACCAGAGAAATACGAGTATATGAACAATCAAGGAAATCAGTGCACCAGAAGTTAAATAAAAACAAGTAGGAGACGAAAATGTAGATTTTTTTTTCTTAAACAGTGTTACATTTCTCTTGTAAGGCATCTTTGTGACTTGACTGTTTTGAATGTTTCAAGTCTAATTCTTTAATATGTCATGTGAGACTAAGCATTGAAGGAAGGAAAAAATAAAACAGACTGAAACTCATTCAGTTAAGTGGGAGAAGTGTCAAGATTAATGTTAGATAAAGACAGATGGATAAGAGAAAACAAATATGTATGATAGGCAAGTATCTTTTGGTAGCTTAAAAGCACAGCTTTGACAAAAGTGTGACCTGGCTATACAGGTGAGGCATTGCTGGAAGCTCAGAGTTTCAGTGTGCAGACCAAAACAAGGAAAACATAGTAAAAAATACAGAAAATATCAGCCATGGTTCCCCTTTTTCTCTCCAGAAGAGCACCAAAGCACAAAAAACACTATCAGGTCATTTATTTTTGGTTGTTTTTTTTCAGTTTTGTTTTTCTACTCTTATTTTAAATAAAGAAATATATACATAGATTATAATATGTACACTTAATTCAGTGATTGCTTTGCCTGAGGTGTCGCAGAGTTTTGTATAAAAACAGTTCCTGGTTGGGTTTGTGCTCTACTTGTTCTAAAGACGGGTAGCTGTACAGAAGGCTTGTGATAGGAAGGGTTAAGTCAAACAATCGTCCTTAGCTAAAACGTGGAGGTTATGAAAATCGAGCTCCCACGTCAGATATTATTAAAGCTGGCGGGGACGAGGGGCAGTAAGCAAAGGCCGCGGCTTGGAATAACTTGACTGTCGGTCATCCTTGATGACACGGAGCGCGGGATAACCGAGCGTTTCCATGATGCGACGGTGGAGCGGGGAGCTGCTGTGGAGGCTGAAGGCATGTGGAGGTCCGAGCCTGAGAGGGGGGGTCAGGAGCAGCTGTCGGTGGGCCGGCGGTCAGCTGCCCCCTTCTGCACGCGCAGGTACTCAACACCCCTCACTGCACCAGGGAAAGCACACAAACACACACACACACACACACACACGGGGAGGATGTGAGATCACGTGAGTCGAATAATAACATTAACAGAAAAACATCACTGCATCTGCACTGGGTCTGTCCCGTTCGGGATTCCATACCTGGTCACCGGGCGGCTGTTTTTCTCCGTTGACGCCCAGGAGAATGGCTTCCTCTGTGTTGTCGCTCTTCATCTCAACCACAATGTTATCTTTGCTGGACTTCTCTTTGGTGCTTCGGTTGGACAAAAAAAACATACACAATTCATTATTGCTTAGCTATGAGGTTTAGTTAGTGATTAGACAGCAGGTTCCCTTCCATTAGCATACAGTACTGGAACCGATAGACCTTTTGCACCTGCTTCTTCTCTGCATGTGTTAATCAAATGTCTAAAGATGATCAGCATCAGGTTTCACAGAAGCCACGCTGTCAGAGACCTCAGCGTCACTTCATTACCTGGATGAGTTATCTTTCTGGGAGTTTTAGGAGATAATACTTTCTGTATTAAATTCAGAGCAAAGAGCTCTAATGCTGCGCAGAAAATATAATACATACATACATGCCAGCTCTTAAGAACATTCTTGGTAACCTCTCTGGTTTTATGACCAAAAATGTGTTTATTGCAAAAGCCCAATGGGACAAAGGAGACTACATTCTCATGATGATTTATCTAAGGATAATTGATCACCTGTCATCTTCGACTACATTTGTAACATGTTTCCTCTCCCATGAAACAAAATGTTTTGCTCTTGTAATAAAACTTGTTTCAAGGAGATTTTTGATATGTCATTCTTAAGGCTGCTTGTGCAGTATATTGTCTTAATTAAATACGTTTCTCGGGCTTAAGTGGATAAAACAGAACTTTAACCCAGGGTGTGAGTCCTGATTAGAGTAGTGGCATCTTTTCTTCACCTATCTGATAACACAATGAGGCCAAACGTGTCTCATTTCTCCCTCCAAAAAGAGTCATCCTAATAAGGACATTATTGTTAAATCAGAAATGGGGGGGGTGAAATTGTTTCGACTTTAAATGTAAAATGGGACCGTTATTTTTTCCTCCCCCCTGTACTTACAGGTCCTGCTTGCCAGATCGTCCACAGATCTTGCCCTTTTTGTAGAGAAAATACAGAACGCTCCCCAAGATGGCCAGAAGCAGGATGAAGATGATGACGACTGCTATAATAACACCGTTGCTCTCTGAAAAAGAAACAAGAGCAACCACCAGGTTATTCGGCGTAGTTGGATTTTGCATGAGATCGGCAGCAGGAGGCAGAGGAAAAATGAGGAGTATAGCTCCGGCGTCATTCAAACAAGTGCAGAGTGGGTCAGAGCTGCTGGAAAAGAGGTGCTACACAACATGCACATGTGGAGAAGACGTGTCTACTGGTCAACATGAAAGAGGTGCCTGCTGAACGAGGAGCCGTGGAAAAGTGAAAGGAAGCTTTTTTTTTTGCCTTCAGAAGAGAAATGTAGAGCAGGACAACGTACAAACCTTTCTTCACTTTCTGTGTTGGGTTAGTGGATTCTGATTGAACTGAAAAAAACCAAATGAGCACAGATATCAGTCGGCGTTCTTTTTATATATAAGATCTTTCATTTCGGTAGGCCTAAAAAAAACACACGATTGACACATTCAGCCTCTTTGTATATCTAATCTGCGATTTCAAGCTAAACATCTCGTCTGACAAGCAAAGCGTGGTCAGTGGCACAGCAGTCATTTCCCAGAGCAGCCCTGTTTAATCTCATTTCACAAGACAGAAACATGAACCCAGAACAGTTTTTCCTCTGAGGGGGTTGGAAATTTCCTGGCATGACGTACACACAGAGAGGAGAGACAGAAAAACACAAGGCAGCATCTTGTAATGGGAGTCAGGAGACCCGCACTGAGTGCATTTAAAGTATCGGCTCCTGAACGCTGATGCATGCATGTGTTTGTTTGTGTTCTGTGCACGCATCTGCACCCCGTGCACCTCCACTATACAAACTAACAGATTTTTGTTTAATCTTATCAATCGTGCCTCTAACATCTTGATTTGAACTTATCGTTAGGACATTTAACACCAGACTCTATTTGAATCCTAAACTACATAAGGGTAAAAAAAAGTATTACAGTTTGAATGGACAAAATGAACAGAATAGACCATTAAATAGGCCTTTTGGAAATAACTAACAGCAGTGATGAAAGCTGTTTGAAGCTGTAACTTTGCCATTGCTGTTGTAATGACCCATCAGTTGTGTCACACTAGTAATTACTACGGGCTTCCAGTTCTTTCTGGGTTCCTTATGATCAATATCTAACCGGTGAAACGCTTCACGTGCTGGATTTGATGAGAATGTTTAGTTATATGTTTTATGACAGAACTCTCAGTCTGCCAACTTCTCATGAAATTCTGTTCGGTTTCTTGTATCTGATTTGATATGCGTGAAGCCGCCGGGTCTCCAGGACTGGACTCACCTGTGGTAGTGGGAATGGAAGTGGTGGCTGTGTTGGGAGCTTGTGTGGTGGTGTGTAACACTGAAAACAGGCAGAGGGCACAACAGGGAGGACGGGGGTCACATTAACAACCGCACAGCTTCACAGTGTCTTGTTTTAAGCAACAAACACTCTGTGAAGTGTGTGGAGCCACAGGCAGCACGTTACACAGAGACCAAGAACTCCGAACAAAGTCGAACGAAAGAGAGACACAGACAAGTCGATGAGACGGACATGGGCAGGAGAACGGAGGCATACACGTGGGTAAAAGCAGAGAGGGATCGGGCGATGAAGAAGTGGAAACTCACTGGTTTTGAATGTGATGATGAACCTCTCCGTGTCGGCACCATGCTCATTGGAGGCATTGCAGAAAACCTCCATAATAGAACTAACAGTGACCACACTCTGAGCCCCATCGGCCATCTTTGTCTGAGATGCTTTCTGGAGGACCTGTCACAAACAGAGCGTTAGAAGCTGGAAAGATCAGCTTAACCAATGAACAGCTCAAAAAATCAACAAGGGACTAACTGATCTTTGCGGCCCTTGTTGATTTTTTTTATGCAAAACCTTGTCAGTAAATTCTCTCCACAATGTCTAGCTTATTACTGAAACTTTATCTATGTTTAATTATGCCCAGCCTTCCTCAGATGGATGGGGCTGAAGCATATCTCTGTGGATATACTGTATACATGAACACATACGTCCACATTCAGTTATCCAGTTTTACGAACAAGGCTTCTGTTCTAAACGTATTCCCAGCAGAGCACTGAACCCAGGCGATGAACAATGCCATAAACCGCACATGCCAGTGGCTTCAATGCGGTAGCTGATCAGCGTATACTCTCACAACATAAACAGGTTGTGAACGTTAAAGTCCTGAAGACCTCCTCCTGCGGTACCTTTCCATCAGCAGTGGTCCAGATGATGGTGGGAGGAGGGTAACCCCTCACACGACAGCTCAGTTGGACATTCTTCTCAAAAGTCTCTCTCACTGTGTTGTTCTCCTTGATGATCTCTGGCGGACCTGCAGAGAGAGGAGTCAGAAATAATAACCCTCAAGAGCCCCGGCACAATGATGAAAGAAAATGTGGAGACTCCCACAGAAACATAACGTATTGTGGTAGACAGGTCTGTATGAGAGGTACGGGTATTATGGTTGAATGTTACAGTTGCTATAATGTGATGCATTCGTCCTATGGAAGCAATTAAGCTAACTGTGGTCCCGACCCTCATGATTGAATTCACACTGTAAAAAATGTCTGTGAAATAAGTATTAATATCCCATAAAATTATGACATTAAAAATCTGTGACAAGAAAAACAATGAATCAGTGTATATTTTAAAGAAATATATTGCAAAAAAAAAAAAAGAAGAAGAATTGTTCATTTTAGGCTCCAGTACTCCCCGCGAACCCATTAGGGAGTAAGCGGTAATGATAATGGATAATTGTTCATTTTACAATCAGTGTATATGAAAAGGATCATATTTCTTTGAAGAATTGATATGTTAAATGTATTATAAACGTAAAAAAAATTGTAATACTTGAACCAATGCAATACAGTTACATTTACAATATTGCTTGTTTTAAATAACTGAAATAAATAGTATACCATTTTACAAATTCAGTTGTTGTGATTTACAGTTAAATGCTGTAGGCCTAACTATGATACCATGAAGTTGAGAATCAAACATGTTTAGAACTGAGACCTATAGGCTAGTAGAACTGTAGTCATGGTCAAAAATATATTTCTACACTAGACTGACAGCTCTTTATGTGTTAATCAGTTCCCTATTTTTTTAGCGCATTCTAACTATATTAAGGCTACATTATTTTATGAGGTATTTCGCGTTTAAAGTTTTAGTTTATACAGTATGTGGTTAAATACACAGCCCAGAGGAGACATGGGGGGTAAAAGGATGAGTGAAGAAGAAAAGGAGGCTAATAAAAAGAATCAGGCGAGGATGACGAACTTGATGATGAACTCATATTCCTGTTATTACACAGCATCCTGGACAAATTATGTTGAGGATACTGTAGGCAAAAGCATATTCTGCTATGAACGTGTACATAGCAGAATTTAAGAATCTCAATAACTGAATTCAGAGCTTAAAATTGAGAAAAACATTTTAGATTTGCAGCGTGTAGATTGATCAAAGTTGAATTAGCACCGTCGAAAGAGAGTAATTACCGCATTTTTCTGTCAGAGTTTATTTCTGCTTCACTGTGAGGAATCTTGTTTTTCAGTCAAAAAATCTGCTTTTCTTAAATTGAAACAACACCAAATATCTAATATTCAATAAAACAGAATAAACTGTCCATAGGAAAGTGTCTGCAGACAAACTCACCCTGCACATGTAAACGCAGTGTACCGCTCGTCTTCATTCCCTCGATTTCAGGAACAGTCACTACACACGTGTACATCCCTGCGGTGTCGAACGAAGCGTTGCTCAGGGTCAATACATGACCCTCTGATTCTTTTTCTCCATTCTGAATTACAAAAAAAAAACACAAGTAGCTGACACACTGGCATCAACCATTTAAAAGATCAGCTTTTAAAGTAATGATGGACGTCTCACTGCGTTGAGGCTTCAACTATTAATGAAAAATGAATGAAAATAAGGAAGATTTGTGAGCCTAATGTGATCAGATGACTTTTTTGTTCCCAAATGTAAATGAAAACAGTTGTTTAACCTTAAACCACACTGTCTGGGTCTGGAGAGACGAGAGAGCGTTGCATGTGGCCTTTAGCTCCGCCCCTTTGTCCAGAACCACGGAGTCTCTGGGAGTCACCACCGCCGGATCCAGATCTACAGAGGAAGAGACGAGCAAACAGTTTGCACGAAACTGATCAAGCCCAACTGCCATTACGGACGCAAACCAGACTGAAGTCCTTACAGTTGACAAAAACCGAGACGTTGCTCTTGGTCTCTACGAAACTTTCCATGTCCAGAGAGGTGCACTCATAGAGGCCGCTGTTTCGACGGGTAACATTTTCCAGCAGTAACCCATTTCCTTCCCAAGCGTTGTCATCCTACAAAAGTCCACATTAATGTCAACATATGTATCCACTATGGAGCATCAATGGTGATGTAAATATATCCAGGGGTAGCTCCTGCAGAGAGGAATATCGACTTTGTGGACTGGAGTGCTGAGATGAAACACAAAATATTTCACGTAGCAGGATAGCAACTCATATTCACGTTTTTTCATCACATACATATAAGGTGAGGCCAAGCTGGGCTGATGGCACAAGAGTCACACGTGTGTTTTCTTACTTTTAAGTGCTTGATCGTCATGGATGAGGATGGAGAATTCCCATTGCCTTTGCAGTGAAGCTCAAGCATGTCCCCCTCCTTGATTTGGCCTTTTGGGGATTCAACCCAAATCTTTACAGCGGTGTTGGGATCTGGAACAAACGCAGGAAAGTGGAGTTAAAAACTACAGCAATCAAACTGTTTTGGAAATCTTGGTAATAGCAATTGCTCATCCCATTGACAAATACAAATCTAACTGTAGATTTCTGAACTTTTTAAGGTGAAATTTAGTCGTCATTTCCCCCAAAAAACTGACTGCATGATGGGGAGGATGCAACTCCGAATCAGAGGGGGTGTCGTGGATTCAATAGAAACTTTTTGGAAAAGGGCCAATTTTTAAAACATCTTTTTTTTAAATTACTTCCCAAATCAGTTTATCACTAGCACAATTGCAGCTTGCTGTTAGATCCACCAAAGCTAGTCAAAAGAAGAGTGTAGCTCGGATTTAGAAAAGCCCCCCAGTTCTGGTAAAGCTAACACCTGAGCAGCTCTGCTCTACTAAAGCCACAATTAATTATTGAAGTTTGGGGCTCTGAGTTCTGGCAATTCTGGGAAACTGATCCTCACGTGATCAGGACCCAGCAATTTCTCAACCAGTGCGTGGATGGGGTGGAAGGTTGGTTGTAAGCAGCAGACTCACAGTACACAGTGACATTGATTCGGGGGGATTCGGTCATCCTGGTCGCTCCGGGAACAAAGTAGGTGACCTCGCAGTAGAACTGAGCATCTTTGTCCTCCTTCTTCACCGTCATACTCAGCTCACTCCAGACTGAGAACAGTCCGCTGGATTCCGAGGTGGTGCTGGATGACACGTCCACTTCTGAAAAGCCAAAAAATTAACAGCACATTGTTGTGGTGGCTCTTTCCTCAGTCAATTAGTTTCAGCTCCAATTACTGGCAAACACCAGACAAGCTTTTGTAAAAAGTTCATTTGATAACCTTTAAGTATAAATATATTTATTGGTAATGTAAAAAAAAGTGTCCAAAGGGTAGTTTATGAAAGCAATGTTTCATACAGTTGAGTTCCTGCAGTGAGGACTATTAACAGTGTAACCTGTAGACTTTTGTTACTCTGCAGGACTTAACTTTAACATCCACAAAAAGCTCATTACAATCCAACAAAGTATAAGAGGTCATCTGTAAAATCAAATTAAGATTAATGTTGCCACTGATGATAATTTGCCTCACCGTCTGGAATATTGTGCAGTGGAGTGTTGTCTTTATACCAAGTGATGTTTGGTCTGGGATATCCATTCCTCACCTCACATAAGCCAATCTAAGTTAAGGGGAGGACAAAGAAGAGGAAAGGAGAGTCAGAGAAAGTAACTCCCTGATATTTATGCCATGATTTTAAATGCTTCACCTTTGATGTGCTGTCCTCATGCACTGAGATACCCCTCTGGACACCCTCAATGGTAGGCAGCTCTGGTGCTTCTGCAGAGGACAGAAAAAGTGACAAACGAACAAGAGGAGGAGGTTTTAGGAAGCATTCAGGGCAGACAGACAGCCTGGCCGCTGTAAATCTGACGTCAGGCGTGCGTTTTCTTAGTAATCGGACTAAACCTTACTGAACACCCTCAGCTTGGTGCGGCCCTCCCCTGTGCCCTCGGTGAGGCTTTCGATGGTGCAGATGAACTCCACCTCATCTGTCAGTTGAACGTCGTTGATGCTCAACACCACCTGTCCGGTGGCTCCCGTGCCGTTCATGCTGATCCGATCCGTGAAAGGGGTGCTTTTCTCCACTTTTGTCACAATGCTGTCCTGGTAGTAGATGCTCTGCTTGTCCTGTGAGGCTGACTGGGGCACCTACGAATCCACACGCACCGAACGTCACTGGCAAAGACACACGGCACCATTTTGTTCCGCGTGTGTCCAAAAGTGATGACACTCACATAGTACCACCGGATGCTTGTGCCGCCGATGCCGTCGGCCGATGTGAACATGCAGGTGATCTCAGCCGTTTTTCCCAACAACACCTCCACTTTGTCCTCCATGCTCACCTCCACATCAGCCCGAGCTGAGGGACAGAAAGAGAACAGAGTTGTTACGGAAAGGTTACATTATCTAAAAGTCATGCAGCCCAAAAACAGTTCAAAAAGTAGCAGCTATGGAGAACAAAGACTAAAATCCCTTATTGTTCCCCAAGCAGTTGAGGAAACTTTAAGCTGTTTGTGCATGTGTGTTTGTGTGTGTGTGTGTGTGTGTGTGTGTGTGTGTGTGTGTGTGTGTGTGTGTGTGTGTGAAATGTATTTCAATAAATATTTCAACGTTCGTTTTAGCTAAAGCAAACTCAGTTTGACCCATACAGTGGATATTTTGGGCTGCTCTGAAATCTGTAAATTAGTATCTGTGATGTGGAGAGCAAAGAGACCCAATCTCATTAACTGGGGTTTATTCATTCACATTTGGCCGAGTGGTAACAACACATTCTTCGTTCATGTCACAAACCTTGTACCAAGCAACTACAGTATATCATCCTCCTGTGATGGCTGCTTCATAGTTTTGGATGCAGAGAGACACGATGAGCTTGCAAATTATGTCAACAAGACACCACCCAAATTAAACTAAAACTTACAGGAAGCTCCTGGTTCTCATCTTTACAGGATCTGAGCGATCCTCTGAAAAACTTCTCAATCCACAAACTCAAAGATGGCAAGAAAATTAGAAGAAAGTCACGATGGGTCAAAGGGAAAGAAGAGAGACGCTATGATAGGAATGAAAAGCCCACCCATGTCCACATTAATGTGCTGCATTCCATCATGTCACCCTCCCACAGGAAGAAAGGACCAATTTACAGGCAGCATAGAAGCTCCACTGTTCCTCCATGTTCTGTCGGTGAAGAATGGGTGGTTTTCCCCCTTCCAGGGTCCCTCGATACGATGCGTCCTTCTAGGAGGGACTCTAAATTATACTCATCGTGGCAGCGTTTCGGTGGATGTATGGAATGCCAGGGAGAAGTGTAGCCTGGAGGTCAGGACGGTGCCAGGTTCGATTTAGCCTCCGGTCACTGTGTCACAGCCCAGAGTGAAAGTCAAACGCAGCTCAGAGGAATGTCAACGTGGATAATCAGGAGCCAGCTCTGTTTTCCACGCAGTCATGTGATTAAAATAAAGAACACCCTCTTTCAGTTCTACTGTTGAATCAGGACAGAGGTGAGACGTAATATGATTCATCTTACAGATGCAACCTCGACTAAACAGTGACCATTCCCTGTGTTCACAAAATTCTGAGATGTGTTAAAGTCATCTCAAGATTCAGAGCATAAAAGGCCTTCCTTTGTGTTTCCTGTAGAGCATTATCTGCTCCTGAAATTGCCGTGAGAGAATTTTGGGTCGTTTTTACAACACTGCTTCAGTCCATTGTTTGTAACTGGTCTTTATGGATTGATGGACAACAACTGGTTCTTCTTTAAGCTCGTTGACATCTTCCCTTTCCAGCATTAATACTTCCAACTCTACTTACAGAAATGAAGAGCTGAAAAGTTGGATTTTTTTTTAACTATGTGACGATGGACATAATGGCCAAAAAGTGGATTTTGTTTTTCATTCTATCAACACTGAATGTTTCTGGAATCATTCATAACACGCTTACACATTTTAGTCTCATGTTCTAGATAAACCAATGAGTCTTTTCAAAAGCTACAATGAAAAAGGGTTCGTTTGTGACCTCACACACAGAAGTTTGAAAATGCGTCTTCAAGAACCACAGTTCATGTTATTCAGCAAATTGTTTGTCTGTCATGGAAACAGCTCAGTTATCTTTACATGGAACAAGAATAAAGCTTTGTTCACATTAACAGTAGTTATGTGTTCATCCATTCAGAAAGGCAGTCAGAGTTGGTTGAAAGCCCGGGAATCATCAAGTGAGGGAACTGCAATGCTGACTTCAAAAGAAGAAATTTGTCACTTTTTTTGCTATAGAAAATTACAAACAGGGAAAAATTACATGGAGTAAAAATTAGATCAATATTTGTTTTCCTGGAGGATTATGAGTGTCAGACAAAAAATAAATAAATCACGCTGTTCTCTCAATCCGGAAATTACAAATCTGCCCAGAACTTGGTGAGCTATTCTTCAATAGAGCTTTCTAATAGATAAAAGAGGAGGGTAGGGTCAGTAGTATACATTCAGAAGCACCAGAGCCTCTTACGTATTTTGGAGCTGCTCTCTGTGTAGGAAGCTCTTTTGTGAACTGGCGCCATTCTCAATGCAATTTCATTTAATTTAGTCCCGTCTTAGTTGCACTGATAACGCATTTACAGTGTGATTTTCTTCACAAACAAATCCTCTGACCACTGCCGCCACTTTTCCTCTCCCTTCATTCACAACTACCTCCCCGAACTCCTGCTTTCCAGCCCCCCACCTGCCTCTCACTCAGCTGCGTGTGGCTGTTTGCTTCTGGCTAATGGAGGTGGAAGGATGCTTTCCTGTGAAAGAAATCCAATTAGTTTCTACAACACAGACATTTCCTGGCCATTACTGATGAAAGAGCAACGCTGACTCACTCGTAATGTCCCGTCCTCCACCTGGGAGCCTCCAGCGCCAGCAGTAATAATTCAGATTCTGTGCTCGGGTGGATTTTTAACAAACTATTCCTTCACTCTGTCAAACAGCTGGCAGCTCCATCCATCTATCTCCATCTCATTGGTTACTGAAGAGGCTGCCACTGCAAGGCCTCAGACTGATTAGTGATGACGAGTGAGCACAGACTACAGGTTTAAATCAGTATGAAAAAAAACTGGGCTTGTTCCATGTCTTTGAACAAATCTGAACAAACATCTGAACCCATTTGCAGGAACCCTTTAAAACATCATTTTAGAAAATAGATCAGTAAGTACTGTACAACCCGAGGATGCTCTGAGATTATTGAAACCTTCTCCTTCTGCATCGGGCACAGCTCAAAGCATTAAAAAAGCATATGATAGTTGAGAAATTGTGACTTTTGGCATTTCCTCAATTTTGAAAGAAAAATCTTAATGTAAACTTCATTTAGGCTGCAGTAACATTTCTTAAAAAATAAAAAAAAACTTGAGAAAGAGCAGTGCTCTATGATTATAATGTTTTATAAGTATAATGTTCTATGATTAATAATAGAACTTAACCTAATAGATTTATTTTATACATTTCCCCTCTTTCAGCAAAAGGGGAACCATATACATATTTTATCACATGCAAAAAGCCATGGATGTAAATATATACATACTAAAGTACATCAGCAGTCAAAGCTAGAGGTTATCCCTAAACAGAAATAATAAAATCAGCTGTAATGTACCTCACCCTGCAAAACAAGACGAATTGCGTTAAAAGGATAAGCTAATTAGGGCCATTTACTGTGAAGACAAAACAAAATGAGGCCCAAAAATCAGTCCTCACAGAGCGACAGAGATGATCTCGAAAGGAAGTCTTATCAACAATGTTTACGCTGACAGACAGCTTTGAGTTCATTGTTGACTAAACAATCAGCTTCTGTGCATGTAGGACAGGATAATAAAGCTTCCTGCTGCCCCCCCGAGCTTCTGCTGAAGCTTATCAGCACTTGCAACACAAAGTCTTTTTATCCCTCTGAAAATGAGATCGTAAACAGACGGAAACCCGTCAAAGGTGATCAGTAAACCCATTTGAAATGACTATTTTAGAGCGTTTGTCTTTAAAATGCAGCTGTTCTTCGTCTGTCACAGAGACAGATTAAATCTGGCTGCTGAAAGGACTGAATTTGGTTTGACTTCCTCCCCAAAAGGGTTTCTACATCAGCTACAGTCGCCCTGCCCTCCCCCATGGATTCTGGCATCAAGAACAGACCACAGATGGGGAGGGATGGGGAGGGATGGGGAGCAAAGGACGCTCGCTTTCAGTGCATCAACAGGTTTTTAATTCAGATAGCTGTCCCAGACTTTAACTGATTAAAAATATAATATGAAGAAAATTAAGAAAAATATATGCTGCAATTGATGTGTGTCAGAAGTTTGTAATAACAACTCAGGTAAAGGAAAAAAAAGTTGTTTAATGGAAAAGCTATTAAAACTGTGTTCCCTAGTAGCTCATTAGATCAATTAAAGGTAAGACATCTTTTTTTTTTTAAAGCCTGAAAAGGAAAATTGATTCTGACAAGCAGTCAATCATGCAGCTTTAAGACACCAATTTAATTTATTTTGCCCTTATGGCTTTCTGTTCTTGTCTTTAATAAAATGAGATGCAGACGACGTGACATCGGTTCATGAATCCATTTAATCCCATTTGTCTTCTGTTTTGTGGTAATTGGAGTTAACATAAAATATGCTTTCAAATGTAGCTGGTGTGTTCTGTCAGCTCACAGGCTGTGTTTCCTTACAACATCAATAAGAAGGCTGGCTGAGAGCTGCTGGTTTGGGAGGGCTTCACTCACATTAGACACTGCATGTGTGAGCTTTACACAAGCAGACAGAGTCCAATCTCAGATTCTAGATACTCCAAACTCTAGCTGGGCACTTTTACTTAGACGCTAAAAAAGAATTATGAAATACGGTCGTCTTTTTTATGACTCAATGCTTTGTTTTCATGGAGACACTATCCAGCCGGAACAGCACAGTCTGCAGCATAGCAATAAAACTGAGATATAGCTGGATATTTATTGCATCTTTCTGAATGCTGCACAGATCTTTTTTGTGTGCCTGTAATTTTAAGTATCCTGTATTGTTGTTCCACAGTGTTGCAATTTGTTTCAAATTCAAAAATTTTCAACGTTGTGATACTGGCTATGGTTGGCAGCTCTATCATAGAACGATAAAGATAATAAAGAGAAAGGCTGACTGTAAAACAAGTTGCTCTTGGCTGCAGGGGGCGAAACAAAGAGAGCATTTTTCCCATTGTTTCCCAGAGTTTATGTTCCACACAAATAATAAGTCTGTGCAAGAAGGTGCCCAAAGTTTGTGCGAATACAACTGAATTGTGGTTTCACTGTGAGCCATGGCCTGTAAACATCCCCCTCTCTGAGCTGCAGCGCTGTGAGCGGAGAGGCGCAACCTCACTCTCTATATTTTATACATCAGTGAACTCATCTGAGG